TCCTTTTTCTTAACACCGTTAATACAGTTGCAACTTGACTTCAAGGAGCAACTCATAGAACGCGGTGTGGTAGCCTTTTTTGAGGTTTTTAAAGACTTTGGTGATTTTTGAAGCTTTTCCAAAACTTTCCCGACACCGTGCTTCGCAAGACGAAAAAAATCGCAAGACGACAAAACTCGCAGAACGAATTAATTTTGTCTTGCGAGGCACCACTGTATCACCTTAAATGTTGCACAAATGGCAGTCAAAGCTGTGAATATTAAATATGTAAAACTGCATGAGATGCTGTCCTACTGGACTGAAATATTATATATATTGTATACACAGATGATAATCCAGTCCAATTCATGGGACTTACTCCTGGGTAATTGGGAGTTTGGTGGTGTTGGCTGCTTGTTTTGGTGTTGCCAGCAAACTGTAACACAATTGTTGCTGGGAATGTGCCCACATTGCCACAAGCAGGTGCCCTTTAATATATGGCAGTCTGTAGAGTGGAATTTTAATCCCCTTTCACACACATACTAAACACTGTGGAAGCCACTTGCCCACAGAGTTATCACATGACAACTAGCCACGATGGCTATGTTAACTTCCATTGTCAAAGGCAATATGCCTCTGAATACCAGTTACTAGGAAACACAGGTCCTGCAAATGAGCTTCCTACAGGCAACTGTAGCTTCCTACAGGCATCTGGTAGCCATTGCGAGAAGAGGATGATAGATTAGATAGGTTCTTATGTAACTCTGCAGATACTAGACCAGGCTTCCTCAACCTTGGCCCTTCAGATGTTTTGAGACTACAATTCCCATCATCCCTGACCACTGGTCCTGCTAGCTAGGGATCATGGGAGTTGTAGGCCAAAAAAACATCTAGAGGGCTGAGGTTAAGGAAGCCTGTACTAGACCGTGTACTAATTTCCAGAAGCGTAGATGTGTTGGTCTGCTGCAACAAATCTAACCAAGAATAATACATTTAATATGGCTTAGGCTTAGAGAGCCACTAATGAAGTGGATTCTAGCCAGCAAAAGCTTATGACTTAATAATTCTATATGGTACCACATGACTCTGCTGCTTTTGCTACAAGATAGAAACATAGGAAGCTACCTTATATGGAGACAAACTATTGGTCCATCCTGAATTTTGTCTACACTGACTGGCAGCAGCTCTCCAGGGTTTCTACCTTGAGATGCCAGGGATTGAACTTGGGACCTTCTGCATGCAAGGCAGATACTTTACCACTGAGCTCTGGCCCTTGCATTCGGGTAGTCTGCAAACCTCGGTTGGTCTTATGAGACCAGCATTCTACAATTGTGGCTGGCCCTGCCCACCAATACACATACCTCAGACACATGTGATAGACGGGGTAGCCAATATAGTGCCCTCTAGGTGTGGTTGGACCATTGGCCATAGGAAAAGCAGTCCAATAATATTTGGAGGCAGCATGTTGTCTATGCCTGGGGTAATCTCATAGGAAGCAATTCCCATGTGGCTCACTGTGTACAGAGGGAGCCTTAGAGGAGGCACATAGAGTGAACAATAACAGAATTGTGTATTCAAACAGCAAAACAATCCAGGATTTGTCTCACAATGGAACAGTTTTTAAAAAACATTAAGGGCAATCTTGGTTGGAAAACAACACTATATAGAAACTGTCTTGTCTGTTTTTATTTTGCCTCTGAATTTTTATTTATTTATTATCATACCCATATCACTCTGATAGGCACTATATCATTCATAGCAGGTGAACATGGGAACAATTATTATCACATAAACATGTGATCTGTTGTCAGAACTATTTACCAATCTCAGAAGCCTTTGATTGAATGTCAAGGCCATGATTCTGTCCTAGCTACTCCCATTTGTCACAAATTTTATACCTTTTTCTTTGTTGAAAGTGGAGGCAACTCCATTTTCTGAAGGACTTTTACAGAGCTCCTATTACCTGTAAAAGCAGTTTTTCATAAGTCATAATTTTTAAGTGCTCCTTCAAGTGGTTTGACACTTTTTCAAAAGTATGATAAAAGTTTATATGCTTGGAAATGATCTGTCTAAGAGGTAAGCTCTTTATATTTTATTCATTTTTGAGTTTGCTCAATAATGCTTCGGCCCCTCCCCAAATGATACTGTCAGTTTCTGAAATGTAGCCCATAAAACTTCAGTTGGAGGAGGAAATTGTTATGTGATGATACGTTTGGCTGTATGTGGAAGGATTGCAACCATCTAATCACATAGTTAAATTATGCTTAGCAATGTGGTAGCAATTGCCTCTTTGGCTGCTTCCATATTGCTCCTTAGAATGTGTACACATCATCTGCCCACAAAATTATGGTAGACTGCCTGGGAGTAAAGACTCTCCTCCCTGAAAGAGAGGGGAGTGGTTGTGGGCGGGAGCCCGAGCACCGCCCAGCAGGGGGTGTTGCCCCCTGCCTCCAGCTCACCTGGCTGGCGCTCACGCCCCCCCCCCGGTGGCCACCCAACCAGGTGCCGCGGTGGGGGCGTGTTCAGCAGCCTTTTGCTGCAGCGCCAGCCTTTCCCTGGCCTCATTCCTCGTCGTCGTCCCGTCACGAGTCACCCACCCTCCACTCCCTTTTAGTTAGGGCTTAGGTCATTGGCCTTGCTATGGACCTTAGGTTGGTCGCCCTGGTTGCCTGGGGGGCCTGGTAGGAGTTTTTCCATTTGGCAATAGGCTTTTTGGTTTTTTCGCCTACCTCGTAGCAATCGTCACAACTTTTGTGGTATTGGTGGGTAGGTTAGGCATTGGAATAATGTGTTGTGGTGTGTCGAAGTGCTAGGTGTGGCCATCGCCTATGCCTTCAATTTTTAGGGGTATTCCGTTAAAGGAATCTGGCGGTCGTGTATTCTGTCCGATGCCTGCTTGGCGGGAGGCCATGGCACGACCCTCGGTGACAGCAGGGGTGAGCCTATAGTTGGATTAGCATCAACAGGTGATGAACCCCTGGTGAATAAACCCACTTGTTTCGATCCAATGCCTAAGCCAATACCTGTAATCAATAAAGTTGTGGCCTTTTCTAGCCCATTAACCTTATATCACGTGTCCTGGTGTCTTCATTTCACTTCGCGGGGGTCGGGCCCTCGAACCACAACCATGGTGACAGCAAAAAACTTACCACTTGTGAGAGCATGTAAACTAGCCCTTTGTTTGAGTGACCCTCCTAACACAGGATTGTACTTCAGGAATTAGGTTGCAGAGTGTTGTTGATAGGGCTTTCTCCATACTTGATATGCCATCATAGAATCACAACTAAGGAAGGCAGTTGTGAATGTACGAAGGTGCCTTATACAGAGTCTGACCCTTGGTCTATCTAGTTCGATTTGGTTCAGTATGGTTTACATTGACTGGCAGCCTCCGGGGTTTCAGTCAAGACATCTTGCTCAGCACAACCTGAAGATGTCAGGGATTGAACCTGGGTGGGTGCTTTTCTGTGCAAGGTATGTGCTGTAACACCGAGTTACAGCCATTATGGATATAGCTCTCTTTCCCCCTCCCTCAAGGAAGGCTTGAACTGGCAGCAGCACAAGGGACAGTGGACCCTCTCATCAGCTGGCTCCACTAGGGACTATTTTGTGTCTATCTTGTGCTCAACTGAGTCAACGCTTTTCCCCTTTTCTTTTTTACTGAGTGGCATGTGAAAGAACCAGCTTCACTTATCTAGTCAAAAGATTTGATAACTATTTAAAAGGGGGACGGGTTGGAACTGTAGATAAAGAATGGACGGTTATGAAATGCTTCAAATTTCTATAGTGCTAAAATTGCATACTACACTAACATATTCCTAAATTAGGCCTTTCAGCAACCTGGTGAGCTGAGTTAAGTAGTCTTTGTCCCATTTTATAGTGTGGGAAATTGGGTGAATGAGGTCAGAATTTTCAATTTTGGATGCCTAAAGCTAGACATTTAAATCCGTGCAAGGGCATCTTATTTAAAGTTTCACTTGCACATGTTCAGGGGATTTTGAAGCAAACAGATAAGCAAATCAGAGATAAGTCACTGCTGTCTTGAGAAAAATTAAATGCATAATAGCTGTACTATTGGACCAGGTGTCCATGTAACTAATCTATGTGGAGGACAACATGGTAGATAAAAAAAAGTGCTGAGTCTTCCAGAATTAGTAGCAATGCCAGATATTGCACACCAGTAATGAACTGAGATTAGTAAAAATATTAATAAATAATAGTTGATAGAAAAACAAATAGACAAAGTAATCAATCATAACTCTTTATAGAAACGAAAACAACTATTTGCAGGGGGTTATTCATTAACATGCTTGCTGGATTGGAAACTCCTGGAATAGAAGAGCAACCGAAGACTCTTGGATTGAGCAAGGGGTAGGTTAGAAAGAACCTCACCCTTACTAGATTGTTTTTAGGATTTTTTAAATGAGAAGCAGGGCTAGCACAGCCTGTATAGCAGTTATACCAAACTCTTTATACTGGTGCGTTTTACAATCCTGAGAGGTTGAGGTTTAAAACATCTTTCATTGCATTAGTTATACAAGAATGAGGAAAGGTTGTCTAGCGCACCCTCCTCAGCTGTCGTGGCCCCTGGATATCTCTGCTAAATGTGCTGTGTGGAACAGTGTTGTAACAAAGTGTTGTTTTGTCTTTAAGAATCACTTGGGGCTAGCAGTGAGCTTTGGCCTGCTTCACTGTTTTGTTCATTATTTGTCCTTTTGGTCTCCAGTCAAAGTTAGTTGCTGTCATTGATGTAAAACATATATTAGACAAATAACTGGTTAGACTTGGCCCTGGGAACCATGATGTTAATTCCTGGGAGGAAAAGTTCATTCTGCACTACTTCAGCTTTGCGAGGCTAGATCAAACAATACCTGTAGGTCTGGACCATTATGAGGTGATGAGGGCAAGCATACCCACCCTTCTTAGCACCCTGGCTTTATCTCCAAAGGCATGCACAGCACATTTCATCAAGGTGTGCACCCAGGGAATATTTTTTAAAGGTGAACACTTGTTGAATACATACACATAGACATTATTTTTATTCACAAAGAACTAAAGGAATACAACTTTACTAAACTTTTTTTTAATTAACAACTAAACTTTAAAAATACAAGCTTAAAATATGACACACAAAATACCAAACTTTTGCTGTAATGATAACCAGGCGTATACAGAAATAGTCAATTTTCATGATCCTTATTCTTTAACCAAATAATGAGCTGACCAAACAAGCTTTCTGCTAATCTGAAACAGGAATGGAATGGGACTTTACTCCCTGTTCTTTTTAAGGTAATCTGTTTGAATTAATGTGTTATGGTTAAAGTTCTCTCGACCTCTCACTCAAAAAGCTTTTTATTTGCCAACTACATCCTTGTTTTGATTCTAACAGCATTCATACACTTTTATAGATATTGGGTGGAATTCAACTAAGTTATAGTCACAGTTACACTTAGAGTAAGCCTATTTAAATGAATAAACCTAATTTATTCATGTTCACGAATTTCATTGGGTCTACTGTAAAACTTAGTTGAAGGCCACCCATAAGGACAGAATGAAGCACTTCTAGGTTGCAATCCTATCTATATACACTTACCTGAGAGCAAGTCTCATTAAATTCAGTGAGAATTACTTTTCAGTAGATATGTATAGGATTCCTCTGTTAGGCTTTCCATAGGTCTACGTAAAGTATCTCTGTAGACTATGGGGCATTTCCCTAGCAGCAAAAACAGTCAGAAAATCCATTATACACAGGCTGAAATAGTTTGGTTGATTTTTATATATTTTTTCCAGAGGATGGCTGCATAGTGTTGGCCAATGCACATTGTGTTTTCTGTGCATAGGCCATTTTCAAAAGCTCCAAAAACAGGGATTGCAAGCACTTGGTAGGCAGGGAAGACAAGAACACTTATGCTCCCTTCTATGTGATGGGCTGGGTCAGAGGAAATATAATCTGATCAGGTCCAAATTTATTTATTTATAGCCTGCCATTCACTGTGAAGTCCTAGGATATAGTCAATACAAATAAACCATGCAATATATAAACATTCAACATTTACTCATAAACATTTATTCATCAGTCAAGTAGGAATATTAATGACCTCCTTTGTGAATTAGAGACGGTCAGTGAAATAAGAACTGCAGCATATTAAAAGGAAGATATATATTATAAATGATACAGTTATAAAATGTTAGTTAATTTCAAGGCCACATACTAGAGGATTATTGTGGTAGTTTGCTTATCATGCAAAACTGTCCTTTACATTGACCCCAGTGCAGTGGCACTGATGCAGACAGGTATATGTCTGCTGGATTTGCCTTACCATCTTCTATGATGGGAAGTACGGTACATTGTGAACATAGAGCGGCCCCTGTTGATGTGCAACTCTCTCTGTACACGGAAAACCTTGTGGGGTTTTGGATTGTGGCCATTATATTTTAACTGCATAGGAATATCCCTGCAAGTTAATCTTGTATTTGAAAAGGTCACCTGGGCTGGATGAATATGCTTAGGAACATTACAGGAACAGGAGTTTGTGGCAATCAATAGGAAGTACCTTTGCTAATTCATCTAGTTCTGTAACACAAGGCTGTAATATAGGAAGTGAACCTTACTGGCATTCTTACAGACTATCTCCTACAATAGCTCTTGCAGACTTTTTCTGATTGAATAATGTTATGTAAATGCTGCTCTTTCAACTTAACATTTAGAAAAGTTCCTGACCTGACACATGCAACCCCCCTGAAAATGATGCAACTGGTCATAAAGCAGGCAGCTGTACAAATATATAGGTATCCATGAATTTTGGTGTCCTGGGATCAGCCATGTTGCTGGTGTAGTGCACTATGTAAATTGGGCTTAAATTCTATTTGCTTCAATTGAACTTAAATCAGTTTGAGTCAACATATTTTGATTGAACCAGTTTGTGGATGGTCCTTGTGGGCATTCTGGAGTACCTGTTTTTCTTAAATAAAACAAGCAGAACAAGTGTACATGAAAATCCATCTTAATGATAAACGCTGAAGTGTTTACAAATGGGGAACCTAAGTGCGCTGTATAATTAAAATAATTATTTCATCAAAAAGCTTCTAATTTTAATTGCCTAGTATTCAATTAGTGACTTTTTAAATAATTCCATTTTACATTCATTTAATTTCTGTTTTGATTCTCTCCAAAGGACATTTTATCATAAAAAGCAAAACAATTTAACATCTATAATTATGCTTTAAACAATTAGAGCTTTGCATGATAGGATTAAATGTCCTTAGTAAACAATAGCAGACTGTAAGCAAAGCACTAGAGAATATACAGGAATAAGCAGTTCTGAAGTGGCAGGGGAATGAACTAGGTAAACAGATAATCCACCCCCCTCCCAGCTTCAATACTGTTATACAATCACATATCTCCAGAGAAATTAGAAAATAATTTTGAGCGAACAGCACTATGCTTCTCGCAGGACTTTAAAATGGATGCCAAAATGTTTTACAGGCTAGACTGCCTGATGCTTTGATCCAGGTGTGTGTTCTGGGGAGCGAGATGAAACCTTCTCTCCTTGCCCTCATTTGATATCCACATATGGAGACAGAATGGGATTCAACTAAGTTTTGAAGTAGAACATAAAATTAATGAACACAGTGAGGTCTATTAATTTCAGTGGGTCTACTATGAATAAAACTTAGCTGAATGCCACTCATAGTGTGAAAAAGGTAAATGCACGTGGTGTCAAGAGCACTTCCCAGCCAAAGAATGCAGAGGGCCTTCTCGGTAGCGGTGCCCTCCCTGTGGAACACTCTCCCGTCAGATGTCAAGGAAATCAGCAGTATGAGAGTTCAGTATGAGAGTTGTGATAGGAGTGTCAAGTGGATGGGAGAAAGGTGTGCTCTTGCACACGTGAGGAAGCAATCCAGGAAAGAGTATCATCTAGTCAACTGACTGTAGTATCCCTCTAGTCCTCCTGTAGAAAAAAAAAAAGAGGGAGGCCCAGTAACAATATTTATATATCATTTCTTAATCAGTAGCTTAAAAATAAACTATGGCTTTCCATACCCAAATGATATTAACTAAGAAAATGTTAGATTTCTCAATTGATTCTTTTCATCTGTTAGAAGAACGATGAAAGTTCATTTCCGTGTATTTTTCATAGTCAGATACATGGATTTCATGCACTTGGGATTAACATTTCCAGTTGTTGTCTAGTGTCCAATCTATTAATTAAAATGATGCTAAATATATCAAATTGGCATATGCAGATTAGGTATGGCCTTCAAGTTCATTACTCCCAAGACAGAAATCATCCATTCACTTCACACAAGTGAAAAGCTGCATAAAATACAAAAGCAAATGTATAAACATGGAAAATATCGTAAACTGAAAAGCAGTAAGGAGATCCCCATATAAGAGTGCTAAAATCTTAATTCTAATAAACCAATTATATTTGGAATCCTCCACAGCCATGAATTTCAAACACTGAAGAATATGAAGCTTTCACTTTGCCAAGAGTACACATACAATTGATGTTTCAAAGATTCAGTTACTGAAAGAGTAATAGATAGTACAAAAATATTATTTTAGCTGACTGTACGGTGGGAATTTATACAGATGTCCAACCAATACATTTATAACTACAGTATGCATTAGCTGAAATGTCTTATTTTGCATTCAGACCCCAAGCGACTGAATACAGAATTGGAATAGTCAGACAACTGCATAACAATTTATCCTCAATTCAATGTACCTTTAAAGTAGCATTAATTATGAATTAATGCTTGGGGAGGGCACAGTGTACTCATCTAGGGTAGACAGAAGCCTTTAATTATATTTGGCTTTAGTTTTAATTAAGACAAATAAGGGTTTTTTTTAGCTTTATTGAGCTTTACCTGGAAGTGGAACAGTTCTAAGGAAATATTTTTGGGATCAGGGTATTTGGAATTGTGTGCTCAGATTAGTACATATTTATGTGATGCAGTTGTGTGGTGTCTACAGTGTTCTCTCTCTGTCTCTCTCTGTCTCTCTCTCTCTCTCTCTCTTTAGCATTCCACTTTCTTCCTGCACAGATGCTTTTTTATCTAAAGATCACTGTGATGTGCACTGGAGGACTTTGCACACATGTTGTAAGATCTCGTGTATCCTTGGACATCACTAGGCTGATTTATATGGCACTTTCTGGTTTAGACAATCAAAGTGCCTTGGGCTGAAGATACAACAGAGCAAAACTAAGAGCGATAAACCAATTTGCTTTATTTGAAGTTTGACGGGAATGGACTCTCTTGGAAGGTAGTGGGCTTTCCATCACTGGAGGCTTTTCAACAGACGTTGGTTGGCCGGCCACCTGTCAGGGATTCTTTAGCTGTAATTCCTGCACTGCAGGAGGTTGGACTAGATGACCCATGGGTCCCTTTCCTACTCTACAATTCTACGAGGGACCACCATTAATCACCACCTGGGCCTTGCCAGCTGTCCTCTCCTGCTAGATTTAATCAGCAAAGAAGAGCAAGGGTGCAGAGTGGTCGCCCTGACCAATCCCAAGCACCTTGTTCACATCCTCGAGCCTTTGAACTGCTCCAACCAGCACAGAGAATGATGGAAAATCTTCCTTTCATTTTCACATTCAGCCCCTCTTAACTTCTCCCTCCACACCACCATCAACACAGGTATGTCCTAAAGACTAACACGGTGCAGCATGGGCAGCAGTGCTAGAGGGGGAGCAGTGCTGGAGCGGGGCAGATGCCTCCTCCTAAACAAGGAGCTTGTCCCTCACTTGCACACACACCCCCCCCATTGCTGGATACCTGTCATTAAAATGTACTGGTATTTTCTTTTTGAGATCTTAGCATGTGGGACATAACTCCACCTAGAAATAGACTTCTGTGCCCATTCCCCCCCCCCCCGATGCCACCATTCCAGTGCAGGAAAGCAGGACTGAAGCCTGAAACTTGAGAAATATATGACTATTACTATAGGATGGAATGGGACAGCCCTTGTTTCCAGTGCTGCCACTGAGGTCTGAAGAGCCCTAAATTTTGCTTCTCTGAATCTCAGTGCTCCAACCTTCATTTACCTCCAGATTGGCCAGCTCATGCTTTGGCTCATTTCAACTTCCTTTTTTTTCAGTCTGCTTCAGCCATGCAGTTAATTAAAGTTTATCCCCTCTTCCATCAACGTCTCACATCAGTTGATGCTTTGGACCTTCACAGGAGAACTTTATCCTACCTTTTCAGGGCTGACTAGAAAATGCAATATTCTCTGGAAAAGTATCTATGGCTCATTTTTCTGGCCATTCTTATTTTATTTTTGGTCCCTTTTCCTCCCTTCCAAGAAATTGTTCTCACAGTGCACTCTTGCTGAGTTAATGTCACTTCTCCTGCTTCCTCTGGCCATATTATTTATTCTGTCTTGTTTGCTTCTTTGTTCTCAGTCTCATGTAGGTGTAGAAAGTTGGTTGGTGGTGGTGTGGCGATTGCCATTATTGTATTAAAAATAAGTTCCAGTATTTTAATTCCACTAATATTTCATTTACAGCATAACCTTATGCATGTCTTCTCTGAAACAAGTTAAGTTTTCAAATGAAACCTTCAAATTCGCAAGAGTCCAACTGCTCTATAGTGAGGTTTTTAAGTCAAAGCAATGTGCTATAACTTAAAAGTAAACGGCTTCTTTTTTTATAACACACATAGTTATATGGATTGTGCAGAGTTTTCAACTGTGACAACTACAATAGAAAGCAGAGACTTTTTCAGGAAGCTTTTAATCTCTAGAACTTCCTTTCTTATTCTTCTTTGCATCAGTGAATTTCATTGTTAATTGCTTTCTTGTCCTCCAATATATTGTTTGCCTTATCCAAGCAAAGGATTCTCATCCCCCCTGTTCCAGTTCAGAGAATGTATATCTCATGATATACATACATATATATATTTACTATCAACCTAAAAATTATTCTATCCTAAATCCAATGACATTCTTTTATGTTTTCCAACTCCTTAATACCTGGGGCTGAGCCAGGAATCTACACAGATTCACATCTAAAAGAAAGAAGGCCAGAAAGTAGCTGAAGTTTCTCCTAAGTGCCTCACAGCGTAAAACATATTCTTACTGATTTTGAGCACTAATTAAAAACTTTGAGCCATTCACTGTTCTCTTGATGTGCATTGAGTAATGCCCATCAATACTAACTGCCGAAGTGTGTGTTCAGCAGATCCGATCCCATTTTTAAAAACTCTTCAATATTACACATCCTAAGAACACATTATCACTCTTTTGAAATATAGCAGAGGATCAGAACCTGAGCCAGAAATGAAATTCTTCCCCATTTGATAAAGAGTTATAGATTAAAAAGGGAAATAACTTGAAGTAGCTTTCTTGCTTTTAGAAATGATCAGATGAGAAGTTGTTATTTTAACACAGCTGTCCTCTGGGACATACAGGAGTTATTCAGTAATGAAAGGCAATTGGGAGATTTGACAGGTCTGTTCTTGAAACAGAGTCCTATGAGACCAGCCTTTGGAGGCAGAGGTGAAAGAAGAAATTGGTTTACCCAAAGATCTCTGGATATAGGATCTACATTCTCAAGGAGGCTGACTGTCAGTGTCAGGGTAAACTAAAGACACCTGTAGGCTGAAGTCCAACCAAATAAGAAAAAACTCTTCCTGATATTTCACAGTATTTTCTAATTACCTAGAAGAACACTTTGCATACTTAGTGAAAGTACTTACTTACTTCTTCTTCTTCTTCTTCTTCTTCTTCTTCTTGCTGTTGTTGTTGTTGTAACCCTCGTCGTCTTCAGCATTGGGGTATCCCTCCAAATGGATTGCAGGCCAGCAGTTGGGGTTTAGTGTGGGAGCTTTAGGATAAAATCAGAAGCAGTAGCCGATTGCTTGGCAACACTGCCACATGGTTAGTATCCAACAGGAATGGCTTTTCTCAACAGCTGGCTTTTTAGTGCCGCTTACCAGGATAATACCCAACCATCCCAGCTAGATGACACTATTTCCTCACCTGCAATCTTCCAGCAACACATTTATTTTAAAACTTCTAAAGTGGCTGATAATAATGTAATAAAAGCAAGAAACATATTACCAACAAATAGATAAAGCAGCAGAGAACAGTTGCTAAAAACAACCATGCAATTCTGCATATTAGCTTAATAAAGCTGTCAGAACTGAATCCCGTTCTGCACAATTGTGCCTCCACACGTGCTGTTCCATCCATCCTTTCTCAACAGAGCCTTTCTCTAGCTGCCTCCACAGCATCTGAGGTGCAGCAGGTGATTACTGGGGAGACAGCTTTTAGTGGGGTGCCCTGGCTTCAGAAGGGGCTTACTTGGCATCCACTCTTCCCAGGGCTGGTCATTTTTTAGCTTTCTAAAAAAAGGGTTTTATTTTGATGCTGTATTTATAATTGTTCTTACTTTTAAGATTATTAATGCATTAGCTATTTTGTGGTGTTTTCAGATTTCATTATAAAGCTGCTCTGATGATATATTTGAAGGGTTGGTTATAATTCTAAATAGTTAATAAACTGTGACACACAACACTCAACCAGTTACTCTGAGTTGAGATGAATCAAAAGCTATTCTGTTCTTTATATAATAGTCACAATACAGAATATGTTAACTGCTATGTTTACACCAGACTGCTTCTTGTTAACTTGTGAAAACAGGCAACTTAAGTATCAACCATTGGTGCTGGGAATTGTGAATTCATTCAGCAGAAATTAGAGGGTGATAAGAAACGGTGAATTAACACATAGTGAAAGGGAACAAATGGATTCTGTCACAAGAGCATATTATTTTTAAAATATTGTGGGCATCTCTACTAAAATCCATATAAAAGTGTTTGACTGATTTCACATGTGTACTGACTTATTTCAGTACTGGGACTGGTACCATTTACCTACATTTTTTTTGCACCAAATTCCTCAATGAAACCACTCTTGTAAGGCTAGCTCAAGTGTACAGGCAACTCACACAGTTGCTTGAAGCACCAATATAGTTGGTACACCAGCAAATCCATGTGCAGTTGGATAACTGAACTGCAGGATTCTTTCAGTGTCACAGAAGATGCCTATCTTGGATCATATGTGTGTATTTGAAAAAGAGCATTTCCCATAACCAGGCAACCTGGGTTCATCCCTGTACAGATTTTGCAGTTTTGCACACTCAGGTGATAGCTTCAGATCTATTTCTTATGCAGGCCTTTGAATCGTAGCTGGAGTGACCCCACAAATCAGCACCACTGATTGCTGTATGCTATTGATTACTGTACTGCAGAGGTTCACAAACGGTGTTCTGCATGCTTCATTCAGGCAGTCTGCAGCATGTCTGTAAAATACCATTAAAAACCATACAGCTGTATTACAATTGCTACGTAACAGGCAAAAAAATTATTAAGTGGTCTGCCAAGACCCTCAGCAATTTTCAAGTGGGCCGGTTGGGATGGGGGGATGTTTGGGAACCACTGCTGTAGATTCTGGTTTTAACTTTGTTTTTAATGTTGTATTTTATGGATTTTATGGGTTCTGATGGTGAGGGAGGTTGCAGTACAAGAAATGTTATAATAATAATAATAATGATACAGGATCCAGAGGCTTTGATCCCAGCAACTTCTGCAGCACTAAAATAGGCTCCTCGGGGACATTCTTGCATACCCAACCCTCTCAACCCCAGAACCACTAAGAATTAGAACTAAGATACTCGAACAATTACATTTTTAAGGATTTGAATAAAAAGCATTTGATATATGGACCCAGTGTATGACATAGATTTAAAGAAACATCACTGGTAAGAGAACATGCCATGAATATACAGAAGGAACTGTTAGCTTGAAAGCATTTCTCTCCCTAATAAAGAAATACATTTATCATTCTGGGACAAGAACATAATACCTATTCACAAATAAAAACTTCTTGCTTTAGTTTCCTTGGTTTGTCCCCTGTGATTCAAGTATGATAAATATTTCAGCTTTTCATGTCAAGTTCCAAGACACTTTCATAGTTAGAATAAAAAGCTCATTCATTATACTCAGCCTGCGCACACAATAACCCATCTGTAGCCCAAACATGTAGTTTTTCTCATTATGGAATCATTCATGCTCATATCCAACATGCTACTTTCAATCTAGATTGATTCTAGATCCTACCATCCACAAGAGTGGGTATGGTTACTTGATATAAATTTGAAAACCCTCCCCTTCATTAGGTTATCCATGCCTTTTCCTTCCTGCATGTGCCTCAGGTGAAGGAAGGAAATGCTGACTGCAATCTTAGCATACACCTACCCACAATATCATTGGGCAGGTGTGGATACACTCCAATGGAGGCTGGTGAAACTTAGACCTAGTGGGGCACTTAGGTCATGAGATCTAGGTCACATGGGCAGCTCCTAGGACAGGGTGGTCAAACACATGGCCCAAGGGAGTGTATGCGGCCCTCGAGGCCTTTTTTGGCAGCCCTTGGCAACATGTAGACTACTTGTAGTCTCCAATGATTCTAGAAAACAATGTCATATGTACACAGCCTCTGAGTGGTTTTTAGGCCTATTTACCTAATTGTTTAAGGGCTGATATTCACTTAAGATTTTGTATTTGGACACAAATGCTTCATGACAAGTACTGCATGAAAAATGAATACATTTGTCCTGATTTTCAATCTGTGTACAGATAAACGTGTGGAAGGGATTATGTTTGTACCTGCTGGTCTCTCCCCCTAAACTGTCAACTCATGTAAACTCTCTGAATTCAATGCATACAGCCCCATTTTGTCAAGATACAGTTTGCATATTCAAAGCATATGTACGTAGATGTCTGTGCTGATGGGCCATTGAACATGCAGACATCAGGGCTAGGCCAGCAAACATACTCCTGGCCACCACCATACATTCATCTATGCATAGCATTATATGTTTGCAGAGGGCTTCAGCCCTAAAATTATTGGGAAATAAGTATTATTTACTAATTATACACATAATGGATGAGCATCACTTGATTACACTTGAGGATTCATAAAATTTTATGCAGGTACAACATGTGAATTAAGCATTTATTTTTTTAAACCATAATGACCAGCAAGTACCATTATATTTGAGCTGGGACAAGAGAAAATAAATCAGTTTTATTTTCATTCAACATTTGAATATGTGAGGTTATATGCTAACCTACAGTATTTATTATCATCACCATCAAGCACATCTTCTCTCCTTTGTATACTTGGACTAATAAGGGATTGAAAGAGTGCAGTAGTGCAAATGAGAAGTCTAAAAAAAGAAGCATTAAAGTTGAAATCTCATTTAAATTAGGACACTATTTGAAATGCTAAGCAGAGAATGATTTTTTGCCTTCCCAAGAGCACAGAGATGTGGTTGTGTAATATACTGTCAAATCAGTATCTCCTGAAAATAATTCTTAAAGCAAACATTCCATCACCAATGCAAACTGCTCTTAAACACTGAATTGTTCACACCCAATTATTTTCAGATTTGTATGCTTTATTGCTGCCTAGAAAAGCATATGGACTAGAATGGACAATGTGAGGGGTATGAATAGAGGACCATTTGAAAAAAAATGTGTTGCAAAAAACCAGGCTGTGCAACAGGAAGTCTCTTATTAATGAAATGGTCTTTGCAGGTTAGAGCTTTCATTAGCTACCGTATTTTTCGCCCTATAGGACGCACTTTTTCCCCTCCAAAAATGAAGGGGAAATCTGGGTGCGTCCTATGGGGCGAATGCAGGCTTTCGCTGAAGTCTGGAGAGCGAGAGGGGTCGGTGCGCACCGACCCCTCTCGCTCTCCAGGCTTCGCGGACCTCTCAGCAAGCAGCGGGAGCGCTCCCGCTGCTTGCGGAGACTTGCCGGTGTGCCGACAGCTTGCGCGCGTTCGAGATCAGCGCGGTCCAGGCTTCGCGGACTCTACTCTGCAAGCAGCGGGAGCGCTCGCTGCTTGCGGAGAGTTGCCTGACATAGCCGAAGCCCTGCGAGTGCTTGGAATCAGCGGTACACATTTGCGACCTCCCTGCAAAGCAGCGGAATTGACCTCCCGCGTGGGTTTGCAGGAGAGTTGACCTGGCCAGTTCGAGCCCTGCGCGCGCTGAGATTTCAGCCGGTCCAGGCTAGCGGACCCTTTCCAAGCTAGTGGAACTCAGCGTGCTGGCTCGCACGGCTGCAGTGGCTTGCCTGTCTTTGGTGCTGGAGAGTAGGGGCAGCTTCAGGCCTACCCAGCCCCGCGCCTGGGGACAAATAATTTTTTCTTTTTCCCCCAAAAAAACTAGGTGCGCCTTATGGGACGGTGCGTCCTATAGGGCGAAAAATACGGTATTTTAACAATCACTGAGTTGGATCCAGAATTGAACTTAGTAGCAACAGAAATTGGTGGGACTTAAATTATGTCATGACTAAGTTGTCCCATTGATTTCAGAGGAAGGTTACTTCAACTAAACTTAGTCCACATCCAACCTCTTATAAGAATCATCCCTCTGAATCTGTCGCCTGCAAATGATTCAACATTTCACTCACCATAGATCCGTTAGTAGGGCAACATTTGGAGGGCTACAGATTTCCTACCGCTGGCTTCTTCAGCAGCCTGCCTCATCTGTGCCTCTTGGCCCCTCTCGTCAGCCTCTGCTTCCTCCTCTGATTTTGGACTGCTCTCTGCCACAGCCTCTTCTTTCTCGCTAAATCCTGTTACCTCTTCAACTTCCAACACCTGCTGCTCCTAGTCTGCTTCCTCTTCTCCCTCTGACACAGCCAGTGGCAGGAAATCTGAATGGTGAAATCAAGGAAAAGGGTAACAGGGAAGCTACAGTATGCAATTATTAGCTGCAAACTTTTCAGATTGCAAATTTGAAATGTTGTTCATAAAATCCAGACAGGTGTTAAATAAAAGTTTGTTTGGATTAAGATTAATGAAAGAAGGAAAATGAAGGAGAAAACAGAGAAACCCTCCCAAATGTGAGCAGTTGTTTACATACCTTTCATTGCAAGCAAGGAAAGCGGTTTTTTTCTTTTCTTTTCTGGGATGGGAAAGCTTACTCAGTGATTAAATTGAAAAATTGACAAATAACATAAATATTTAAACCTTTTCAGGTATTCAAGGTTGCCCTAAAATCTGCTTGTAATAATACTGAATTTCAAAATAAAGAATGAGGCCAGGAATGAGAAGTATTAGCAAGCAGTTGTCATGGTCTCCCTTTGGACTAGAAGCATGGCTATAGTACTAAAACTCTCTGTGTTAGCATCTCTGTAGACAAGTGGCCTTGAGATCTTTGTGCTGAAATAATGCATAAGGGAAAGGCAAGCTGAAAGAACGAAGGGGAGGGGAAAGAGAAGAGGACCAATTTACTCAGACAAATGCATCCATTTTATTATTTTTTGCTGGTTTCATCTTTTTAAAAAGCAAACTGGAATGAGATAGAATTAAAACTTGGGCTGCTTCTTACTAAGAAAACAATAAACCTATCCCAGCCTTTGAAATGTGGTGCACATGCATTCACCAAGGGACACAAAAAGCTCTGAACAATGATGAAGAATGCTCCACAGGCAAGTGGCTACACACACAATGGGCTGGTTCACACATAAGCCTCAGTAAGCCTGAGCAAAGCATCAGGACTGCACACGCCCCTTACCACATTGCTGGGAGGAAGACTTCTACCATGATGACTTTAAGTTTCGAAGATACCTTAGCTTAGGGCTAGGTGTGAATCAGGGATCCTTGTTTACAACAAATAGTGGTTAGTCGCTAAACAGGCCATCTTCAAACTATGGATACTGAAACCAGATTGTTTAATTGTTGTTCTAAACCAGGATTCCTGGTTCTCACATGGTGTTAAGTTGCAAACCCTTGAAATTCAACTAACTCATCAGCAGTCCTCCTCCTCTTAGCCTTGCAGGAGGAGGAGAGGAAGGAGATGCACAAGCCAGGTTTCCTCAGGCTCACTGAGGCTTGTCCATGTAATCACTGTATGTGTATACCTGCCTCTATATGTATGCATGCACTGACCATACCCACTCTTGATTTGCTGATGCCCACTGCTGGCATGTGGTCTTTAGAGGGTTAGCCAACAGCAAAAACAGTAATTAAAAAATAGCCACCCCTGATGTGGTGCTAAACTGTACTTTTGTATTATGTGCAAGCCAGCACAAATGACTGCCCCATCCCCTTTTTGCCCTGAGCTCAGTATGCAGATCAGAATCAGGTCATTCTCTCCCTCCTTCACCTTCCTGCTAGAGATCTAGTCAACACTATGTGTGGTCGGGCTATGGGAAGTTACTGTAAAAAGGGAAATGGAGCAAACAGGTATTTCCACCAATCAACAAAATATTCCTTTTGCTTCCTGACAAGGGTTATAGCATTATCCGTGCTGGATCAAAGCAGATGTCATAGTGGTAAATAAGAGGGGAAAGGTCTCCTGTGCTATAGAGGCACTAATCTGTGCTCAGACTTACAACTTTATACAAACAAGATAGTAATGGAACTAATGGGGGGCAGGGAGAGAACTTTAGGGGGGGGAATTGGATATGAAGGTATGGTTGATGTAAATGGGCCAGAGGTATTTTATAACTTGAAGTTACAAATAAAACTAGACACCAGTTATATATATAGAAGAAAAATTCAGTTTAGAAAAAAAATGCACATCATTTGTCAAAAGGAAAGCAGCCTTCATAATTTGTCGATGTATGGCTCCAACTTTTTCCATTATTTATGAGTCTGCAACATTTTTTGTAACAGTTCCTTCACCACATTAGCTTGCTCAATGGAAAACATTCCTGTGACTCAAACCTATGAGCAAAGTCCTAGTCATTTCTGCTGGACTGAGTTAAATCAATATGCTGAATGAGATTGGGCCAGCTTTGGTAATGGAGCTAGCCAATATTGAGAGGAGGATATTTACTATTTTGCTTTTCTCGCTTTCTTTTTTTCCCTGATGTGTCTGATGTTTATGGGTGTACTGAAGATAATCTGACTAGCCATGCATCACAAATGTTTGAAGGCCTGGAGGTCTCACACAGTAATCTGCTTTCCAAATTCTAAGAACTGGTTGACTTAATCCTGAATTAAATACCAAAGATTATTTATTTGTCATTATGACTGCTAGCAATGGAATCTGAGATGCACTGAATATTTAATGGCAGAATTCAGCTGGATACTGAATAACTGGAAAATCTTAATTTTGCTTAACAAACATTTTTTCCATAAAAAAACCCCCAAGCTTAAAGGAAAAAGTCAACAATATATTAAAACAGAATGTTAGCAACTGCCTCCCCCAAAAACGCTTCTGATCCTGGTAGTTACTCATCCTTACCGAATGTAATGTATAAGAGAGAACACATTATGGGTGCAGATAGAATAGAAGACATTATAGGTGAAGATAGTATCTACTTTTGATTAAAGTGGTGTACCAGAATTTTTGTTCACCATAATAATTCGCCTAAGAAGATATTCATCACCAAGTAAAGTTTGTGAGTTGTGAAGGAAAATATAGTTCTACAATACAAAATACAGTACAAGACCTTCAACCTCTGTCGTCGTGTAACGTCTTTGCCAACTGCAGCACTAAACTCAGTCCATCTGAAGGTATCTAGGTATACAAATCTAATTCAGAGTTTAGAGGCACCCCAGAAATGAATATATTGAGAGTATGTGTAGCGAGATAGAAGTGGGTCAACTAGTTGTTCCAGTTTTGAAAGGAAATTTTAGAAAAGCAACTTGTTCTTCAGACATTGCTGTTGAGGACAAAACTAAAACTAAAATAGATGCTGTTACATGCCCAGGCAATTGGTAACTAGGCTCTGTCTGCTGCTCTTTTGCATAAAAGCTGGAACTGACTGTCCCAATTAGATTACAATTACCCCTGCTCAGAGGTCTTGGATAACACAGGCTTTTTAGATGCAAAAGAGTCATTCTTCAAAAGGCCAAGGGATTTCTCCTTGTAAGGCAGAAAACAAGCAAGGCAAATATAAATGATTCATAACTGTAACCCTGACCATTCTCCCTCCAAATTCATTTCCCTCAGCCTCACACTGTCTTTCTGTTCCTGCATTTTACCTTTATTTATCCTTCAGGCGTCTTTCCGTATATTACATCCTATTTCCCAAGTCTGTCTATGAGAGTGGGCTGATGTTAGGGCTGCAAAACTGATAGAAAGGTACCAACTCGGCCAATTAGGGGCTTTCTGGGCCCCGTATTGCCAGTCAAAGGATGCAAATGTTGATTTCCCATTATTATTTTAAAGTTATGTATTTTTATTTTATTTTGCACATATATTGCTTTGTGCAAGTATGCATACTGGGGCAGGTGAGTCCCACAGATGTAGACTCTCTATTTCTACCCAGAATTGAGATTGAGGACTTCATTCAGGAACCATACCGTGAGTGGGAAATGAAACACTGAGTATCTTTTTGCCACCAGGAAACCTAAGAGTTTTAGCTGAATTCTAATCTCATTGGGAAAGATTAGCCACCCATCTTTGAGAGGGCCTATCACTGCCTCCCCCTTCCCTTTCCCCTAGGTAAGAGTTTCTTGCCTAGAAGTACTGAGAAGGCATCAGAAGGGGACACTGAGGAGCCTCTTAAGACTGATTGACTGGAACCCTCAAAAAGCCCTAAAACTGGGTAATCTGCTTTGTGCGGATTGAGTTATTTCTATGGGCTTGCTTGATTTGAAGCTTGTAGTTTGGTCCACTTGTTTGAGCTATATACTTTGGGTTCTCTGCTGTGGATTCATAGAATAAGCTGTCTACAAACTAGATACTCTCAGCCTCAGTGTTTCCCATCTGTAAAATGGATACACATTTTTAGAATATTTTCCAGGTGTTTAATTTCTTAATACTATTTATGTGAGTGACAGACATAGTCTTAAATTAGTTTTGCACTTTTAGTTCTTCCTATGTGAGACATTTATAGCCTATGTCATATCAACTGTGTTGGCCTGCATCATTTATAGAAGGGTTGCTTGGCAGTAGAAGACTTGGAAGAGGGCTATAGCTCAGGGGCAGAGCATCAGTTTTGCATGTAGATGGTCCCAAATTCAATCCCCAGCGTCTCCAGGCAACACTGGGAGAGACTCCCTGTATGAAACCCTGGAGAGTTGCTCCTAGTCAGTGCTCACAATACTAAGCTAGATGGATTTGACTTGCGGCATGGAAGCTTCCTATGTACATGTAATGTAATAACAGACTTATGTCTCTGGTAGTTTCCTATGGACTCTGTTCCTTTTGCACTGGGCTCCAGCCCAGACCTTGCCCTAGGTACCCAAATTTTGTTGTCTTGGAGTGGAAAACTCTTGATGCAGTAAACATCTGAAATAACAACTATGGCTTGTGCTGTGAAAATCACCTCTTCCTGTTCACCCTTCTTTATCACTGGATAGTGGCAACCAGTACATTTGTTTTATAGGGTTAAGATAAAACAAATCCAAAACTGATTAAACTTTAAAGCACATAGCTTTCTCTCCTTCAGCTACTTGGTGATAGGGACTTGGAAGAACAGCATGCTTTCCACATGGGCCACAGCTAATGTCTACTAAGGAGTTGGGATTTGCCATGGAGGAGGTGGCAAAATGTGGAGTATGGGGAAGCTTTGAAGTAGTCTGACAAGGATAGATTTTAACAAGGAACCAAGAAGAAATGAGTATCTGAGACAAAAGCAAATGGGACACTTTATGCTTCTAATGTTTTTCCTTCTCCTTTGCTAAGCTCCTATCAGGAGACTGTCAAACCTAACCACAATATCAACAGCAAAGATAGTGATGCTTTGATCATTACTCAGATCGACCAGGTTTTCCCCATTATATGGCATCTATTTGAAGTGAAAATGAGGCACCGTGAATCTCTTTGGAAATGGCAGGATTTTGTAAGGGATAGCATCAAATATCAGTTTTGTAGAATATTATCATTAATTTCAGTACAAAAGAAGAAAAGAATGAAAAGAAAGAAATTGTTACAAGCCACTGACATTTCCGATAAAACTGAAGATTCTGTTGCTTTCCCAATTTAGTATTATTGATCATTTCCATATTACTTTAAGTATGCAGTGTGCTTTATAGTGTGCTTTTCCTTATCTCACAGATCCTCACAACACCCACTTTTCAGATGGTGAAATAAGGCTAGGAAAGATTTCTCCCCCACAGATTTTAAACCAGGATTTCCAAAACCCCAATACTCTTATTCAACAGATTATATTTTTAGCAAGGCTTTGGGCTTTCACTGGAACAGGTAAAATAGAAAACATAAGCGAAAAAGTCTGGGTAAAATGAAGACATACATTTTGTGTTTCAAGGACTATCATTTCTTTGATATGTGTGACATTTCTCTGTCAACAGCTCATTCTGATTGGCATGTGGGATAACAGCAGAATGAGATTTCCAGGGTAAATACATGGATTAAAGGAGATTATACTAGTAACTGTAAATGGATGATAAATGCTTTAGTTTTCTGTATTTCTGGGAGGAAAAAACAAAGTCTGTTCCAAAACATGGTCATAAGGGATGTATAAAATTAGATGGACCTTATCACACTACAGGGTCTCCTATTTGCATTTACCCCCTTTTTAAAAAGTTTACTTCCCTAAAATGAAGCAAAACATGGAAACAAGCAGTTCTGCTTGAATTATGAATTAGAACATGCATATGCATATGTATGTGCACTGATCATTTTGCATAATTTATTCCAGTCATAAGTTTTGAGGTTACTGACTGTAGAATTGGAATGGGGAAAATTTTTAACTTCCTAGTTACAGCTTTCCATCCTTTAAGTTCCAGTCACCTAGCTCTTGCTGATCTGTTTTGACACTGATTTAACAGCAGAAAACAGTATCAGCTGAAAAATGCAAACTACAAACTATAAGTCACTAATGTTGCAGAGTCTTCACTGTTTACAATAAGGTAAGGTGGAGTTTTCTCTTCTACCTTGGAGATCACACACGATTCAGGTGTGATTAACATACTTTGTGAAGTCACAAATCAGTGAATAAGGATTTCCTTGAAATCAAATTAGAAGAACAAACAGCATTGTGAGAGCAGAGGTATGTCTTCTTATGATTAACTGATTCACTATTAATGAGCAGACACACTTTAAAAGTAGAAACTGATTATTTGGGTGGAAAGGATCTATCATGCATCAAATATCTATGCTAAGTAAAAAGTCTGTGTAATTGGATTTTTAAGAAGTTAGGTGCAGTGTTAGGGAGCTGCTGAACACAGATCTGTTTAGCTTCCAAAATTTGCTTCCAAAGGTTATTTCAAGGCACTTTAGTTTATAAATCTGCCAACATAATTGCCTCTCAGAGAATGTTTATTTTGCTACATATTTAGGGATGACAGTTGTGGTGAGTCCAAGACAAAGTACTACGGAATGGGATTTTGTTCCATAAAAGAAAATAGCACTGATCTGCCTACAATACAAATATTTGATTTAATGGAGTTGTAGTTCATATCATTACTTAAATGGACACACTTTTCCACATCCTAACCAAAAACTGACAGTGAAAAAGAAGAGGGTACTTTAGGTAAGGAGGTAGAAGTGAGCCAAAAATGAGGGAGAGAGGAAGCAGAAGTCTAAAGGTGACATGAAGGACACCAGGGTCTTAGAGAGGGGGAGCTTGGAGGAAGGGAACAGAGACGGTGAACTGGGGACTGAAGAAAGAGGAATAGGAGAAGAAAGGTGACTGCTTGAGAACTACATGTATGCCATCTTTCATTCCATGATGGAACAAAACAAAAGAAGATGGGAAATGAGAGCACCTTGATTCATTTTAATAGGGTTTGGCTACAGATAAACCCAGTTGAAATGAATGGGGGCTGAAATGCAGCCTTGCTTTGTGAGCTGAGTCCAACACAGCATCTTTGAACACAGAGGTGGGAGATGATGAAAGGATGGCTAAGGGCACCTGATTTGTACCTTTCAGTAGTTCTTCGGTTTACGATGTGTTCAGTAAATGTACTCTCTCTGAATAATGGGTGCAAGTGAAGTTAATGTTTATAAATAAGGCTAGCAAGAGTAGAAACCCTGGCATAACATTAAGATAGTGCTCACACCATTATAAATGAGAGTTGGTGAACCAGGATATTTTCATATGTGCTTGCAGAGTGCTTTAGTGCACTGAAACGATCATAATAAATGACAGAACCTAGTAAAAATGCCCAGTGTGTAATTATAAATAGTATTGATGAAATAAAAATGAAGATGTACTTGTTGAGCTCCATGGTGATCTATGTTAACCACTGATTAGCCATTCTAATTCCCATTATTTTCTCAGTAGGGTTGAAATTTCACTAGAGCCATTTGCATTAACTTTCATAGGTACAGGGATCTCTGATATTATTAATATACTAAGTAATGAGTTCATTGCACTAATGCAGCTGCATTTAGTCCTCAGTTACTGGGCTTTTACAGGAGCTTTTTGGGGGGGGGGAAACTAACCAAGGAAATTGCAGCAATGCGAAGATTTTGGTTTTAAACGGCATTAGAGGACCATCTTTTCTGTTTTTAACTTGCCTGCATGACAACTCTTGCCTAATCTGGTTGTTGTTCTAAATTTCTTTGTGACATTATGGTTAACTTCTTTAATTTTCATTTAGAGTATTAAAGATTCTACACTGATGGGTCTTTACTGTAATTATCATAGTGTGTTCCGTATTGTGAATGTTCAGATTCTGCATAACAATGTGAAAATGCCAGTAATTTAATCTAATAAAGTTATCTATCCAGAATGGTATCTTACAATAATATGTATTTAAAAAAGGGATGTATTCCAATTATCCGCCTAACCAAAACTAGCAGGTCATCTTTAACACCCTTCACTTTAACAAAGGAGAAAGCGTTAGCATGATAAATTTTTAATTAAAATGAACAATAGAGGAATGGGGAAACTTACATTTCTCAGCCAGCAAATAAAACGAAAGTATAAAATGTTGGTTTCTTATTCTGGAAGGTAATATGGTCTTCCATCAGTTAGTATGTAGCTGTATACAACAAAATGGGGGGGGGGGAGAGATTCAAACATCCCAGCCTGGGTATTTCTATTTAAATCTGATTACAGTGAAATAAAACTGTAGCTATTAAAGGTTTAAAAGAACTACAAATACAAGCAGTAAAAGAAGACAGTTAGTAAATGAGGTAGTAAAACATTTCAGCAGGGCAAACAGTTTATAGCTCACTGCCTTCTGTAGCAGGCGGCTCTATTCACCAAAGCCTCACGTGTGGTTCCCTGAATTGCACTTAAGCCTGCAATTAACCTTTCACGCCTAATGAAGCTGTTTTGCTGGAAAATTAAAATGTATAGTACTGCCTGCTCTTGCAAAAGTTGTGGGGAGCGGGGAAAGCTATCTCAGAATGAATCCATTTTCAAAGCCTATTGTTCAAATGTAAAATTCAAGTGTTGCACTTACATCTTAAATTGCACACCATATTTGCAAGGCAATCTGCTTTATTGTGGTACATTTTATTTCTGTACTTATTAATTGTTCTGCATAATTGTTAAGAATAAAAAACCCGCACACCAGTAATTTTATAGTTAGGCATTTAGTGCTTGAGGATCAACTATTACCACTAAATTGCCATTAGGGAAGACTATAGTTGTTCTATGTACAACCAAGATAATATTGTTTTTTCTTGTTTCTAGTGTTGTCTTTTAAAAATAATAATGTCATTTTCTCTGGCATATTGGATTGGCCGTTCCTTTTAATGGTGTCTCTAGCATTCACTAAAGGAAACTATAGATTGTTTCCTAACCAAAGGTTATGAAAATAGTCATCCCCATTTCTGTAAAGCTAAAACTGATTTGATAAATCCAATTCCAAGATGGACTTGGAACTTCCTGACCTCGAGATCACAGAGAAGCTTCTGACCTGTGCATGTGACTCATTAATTCTGCTTCTGTTATTTGATACTGAACCATGCTGATTCTACAGTACTACTGCTACAGAACTGAAGAAACAGAGGTTCTCAGCTCAGGAGGGAGTATTTTTAAAGGGGGAATGCATGAAGTAAATTTTAACAAGCCATGAAACTAGGGGTGACAAATGGGAGATATCATAGGATTTACATTTCCAGCCAATAATATTAACTCTAACTGTTTGGAAACACAACCCTATTAAATAAAGGTAAAGCATATAATAAATATTTAAGCCCCAGCATTTTTATTGACTCTTTGGTTGCATTTTGATGTAAATTCTACTTGCCAGCAGCGTCTGTGCATCATTTTGACTTGGTAAATGAAATTCTTTTAGACCGCCAGTCTGAAGTAATGAATTGTTCCCCTAGTTAATTGTACTGCTTTGATAACAAGGAACAGTGTTGGGCCTAGAGAACACGGTAAGTGAATTCCATCGGATGATTTGTGTGACGTTTTGAAAAATGATCTTCTAGAGTGACTTAATATTAATGGAACTCTAACAGCATGCAAGCATGTCCCAGTATGCAGTTTCAGAATGAAAAGAAGCAGTTCCTTCTGAATAGTGGCGTAAGAGGAACAGCATCCAATAAAGCATATTTCAAGAAAATGAAAACTTGGTAAAAAAGCATGTTAGGTTCAGCTCTTTTGTGAGTTCAGGGTGTCCAGTAAAAAGTGCCTTGATGTGTTTTATTGGGGAGCACATTCAATCCCTAGCCTGATCCTAGATCAGTTCACTAACTGTAACAGGAAAGCGGTAACATTTGAAGATTTAACTAAAGACAGTTGCTGACAAGCAAGTATCAATCTGGTGCTTGCTTGATTATTTGCTTACTACTAAATCAATTCACTAGTATAACCTGGTCTGTGGAGACCGAATGCCACTTAAAAATGCTGCACAACAATGCCTCAGTGTGCCAGAGAAGTGGATGCACTGGCACTGGAAATGAGGACAGGTCATAGACTTGGCCTTGCACTGGAGCCAGAGCACTAGTCGTATGTGCTAGAAAGGCATCAATGAAAGTGAAAACTTGAGGCTAATATCAACTGGAACCAGTCTAAGGCTAGAGCTGTGCATATGGAATTTTTTAAATTGTTCTCAGAGCAAAGCAAAAGACAGAAACAAGAGGTTTCTCAACTACAAGCAGGAGTGGGCAGTACAGAAACACACACACACACACACACACACGAAAACATACCGTATTTGGCATTTATCAGCGCATGACCTGAAAAGAGAAATAAAGATGTAAAAGGTCCTTGGACAGTCATGGTAAGCTGACTTGGGCTCTCTACCAACCTCCAGGATACACATTTCTTCCTGACTTACTCACAAATTCAAGAGTTCTTCAGTAGCCTGAACATTGGGTTCAGAGCCTTGTAGATGTCTGATGTCTTTCTGCACCTTGAAAGCACATTAATGATGCAATCCAGTGCATGTTTCTTTCTAACCCATACTCTCAGGTAAATGTGTTTGGATTGCAACATATGTTATATTTTTAAGACTGGTGGGCATCAATTAATTTGGATCTTTCTTTCATCCCGAGGGCTCAAAGCAAGTCCTAGTTTTCTGTCCAACTAAGCTTTCTTCAGAAAGGGCCCACTGAAATTAATGAACGTAAGGTAGTCATTTCTATTAACTTCAATGGGTCTACTCCAACTACCGTTGGCTACAACCCCTAGCACTACTTCTTACGAAGGACACTTTCATGCTGAACACTGCTATTCCAGCCACCAATGCCACAGTGCTACTGAATGATGCAAAATCAGAGAATGGCAATTATGATGAAGGAAATGATTTCATGGCCCATGCTTGTATGGATCCATTAAAGGATATGAATTAGGGCCAAACTACATGACACAATGTGGCAAAGCATGCTTATGTAATTATGTACAGTGGTGCCTCGCAAGACGAAAAGAATCCGTTCCGCGATTCTCTTCGTCTAGCGTTTTTTTCGTCTTGCGAAGCAACCCCCTTAGCGGATTAGCGCTATTAGCGGCTTAGCTGCTATTAAAGGCTTAGCGACTGAGCTGCTAAAAGGCTATTAGCAGCTTAGCGGCTTAGAAAAAGGGGGGAAAGCGGGGGGGAATGGCGGGACTCGCAAGACATTTTCGTCTTGCGAAGCAAGCCCATAGGGAAATTCGTCTTGCGAAGCAACTCAAAAACGGAAAACCCTTTCGTCTAGCGGGTTTTCCGTCTTGCAAGGCATTCGTCTTGCGGGGCACCACTGTAATGCAAAAGGAATAAGGACTGTGGTGGTTTCTCATGCTGCAGTTCCAATAAACATCTACCGTATTTTTCACCCTATAGGACGCACTTTTCCCCCTCCAAAAATGAAGGGGAAATGTGTGTGCATCCTATGGGGTGAATGCAGGCTTTCGCTGAAGCCTGGAGAGCGAGAGGGGTTGGTGAGCACCGACCCCTCTCGCTCTCCAGGCTTCAGGAAACTCTGTGCAAGCCGCGGGAGCCCTCCCCCGGCTTGTGCAGAGCCGCCTCTTATCCCGAAGCCCCGGCGCGCTGGGCAGTCGCGCCGTTGCCTCGGGTAGCTCCGCGCAAGCCGCGGGAGGGCTCCCGCAGCTTGCGCAGAGCCGCCTCTTATCCCGAAGCCCCGGCGCACTGGGCAGTCGCGTGGGGCTTCAGGTAGCTCCGTGCAAGCCGCGGGAGGGCTCCCACAGCTTGTGCAAAGCAGCCTGTTCTGGGGTCGGGGGAAGCTCGGGCTTCCCCCAACCCAGCCCCACGCCTGGGGGGGGAAAATAAATTTTCCCCCTTTATTTCCCCCCCAAAAAACTAGGTGCACCTTATGGGCCGGTGCGTCCTATGGGGCGCAAAATACGGTATACATATATACATACATACAGATACAGATGACACAGACACAAACACACTGCTATTTGTCATAGGAAAGAAGTTCCCAATGGTGGTAGTGCCAGCTTCCTTTCTGTGGTAAACAGACATTCTAGGCAAGGAGGGTTTTCTTTGGGACCACTACAAAAGGTATTTATCACATGCACCACAGTTCTGATCCCCCCCTCCATGCTACCTGAAGCATAATAAACAAGCATCACCAAACTACGTGTTTAGTGCAATGTGAGGAAGTGATCCTGAGCAGGGAGGAAGATTAAAGGAAGCATCTTTGTAGGAGCTTCACAGCTCCGCTTAGAAAGAGTCAGGCTGTGGGACAACAAAGCAAGTGAAAAGAATACTCTGACTCATGAGGAGAAAGATGGCCCTGCCCTGAGATGCTGCCATAATTAGTATCATGGGGAAGCATCTGACAGCATCCAGAATGATGTGGGGAGAGATAAACTAGCCTTCTTCTCTGTGAACAGCAGGGAAGAGTTTTGCAACAAGTTGATCTACTCTTGTGGAACCTGGAAAAGCATATAGTGAATCCAAAAGGCTACTTCTACATTTTAACTTTGCCCCCTGAGAAATAACTGTCCCTTTTGAACCCCGTTGGGTCTTCTGACAAGCCATGAAACATTCTTTGCACATGTTGGATTCTGGATTCTGCCCTCTGTATCTGTGCTTTTGCAACATGGAAATGATTTTGATTCAGTAAAAAGTATGAGGGAATAATTTACAGATACATCTAATTTTTGCATACTGACATGTTGACAAGCTATATATCCACTCAGTGAACTGAAGAACAGTGTATGGTGGCACAATTAGAAATCAAAGTCAAGAATCTTCAAATATTGTATGATATTTAAGTATCAGCATTCTCATGGCTGTTCTTAATTGACAAAACATGCAGAGTTGTAGTTAGTAAGGCAATTCACTGATGCCTCCTTTTCCCTGACCCCCTGGCCTTGCACACATGCTTAAGTGCCAGCTTAAGTCTTTTGTTCTTCCAGGCCTTTTAAGATCTGGTTTTAAGTATGTAGCATGGTTGGGGATTTTAATGTGCTTTTCGTGATTCTGCTCAATGGTACAAAGAACTATAACGTCTTTTTTTGCAGCCCACCACAGCCAATTTGTGCTGGTACCCACAGCACTTTTATCAAGATGTGATCTGGCACCCCTCTTTTTTTTTTACCCAAAAAACCCAGTGCTTTTTGTAGATAGTATTTTATAGTACTGGTTTTGTTGTTTGGGTTTTTGTGCTGCTTGTCTCATAAATACACACACCCTAATCCTAACCCACCCACTGCAATTCACTTGATGGGAAGCACTATTTAGATAAAATAGCTCAAATCTGTGTCTCCCAAGCCTTAATTAATACACCCTATTTCTTTTTAAAAATAAAGAGCCAGCAGGGAAGGAGTGGGATTGGGACTATGGCACAGGGACAGAGGACTATAACTCTTTGCTTTCACTGGCTTCTGGTATTGCTTTGTTGTTGTTGTTTATATGAAAACCCAGCTACAGTGTGTGACAAGTGTCTTATTTACTTTCGTCATACCCTCCAACATTCCTTAGATGAAAATAGGGGTATTCTACTATATTAGTATCGCTGCTACTTAGTGGTATTATTAGTTTGGGGCCTTCTTTTTCCATCAGACTTTCCTAAAGGCAATACATAAATACAATGATTTCTGTGGTTAAAATACTGCAGTTTTGTATGTTTTCTCTCATAACTTTTGTACTAGAACAGGAGGAAATGCTCAAGCAATCATATGGCAAGTCTGATTCCATTGCTCGTGAGCTAGTTTCTAGTGGAATTAGAAGCTCATCTCAGTGAAAGTAGAAAGAGAAAGCAGGAAAAAAAGTATTCTCATAGCAGAATGTTAATTTCTCTTTTCCTTTTCCTTCCAGGACTGGCAATTGCAAGTGCACTGATAGACATTTCACAACAGAAGCCCTCAGAGTGTAAAGATAAGAGTTCGGCAGTCAGAAATCGAAAACACCACCTTTCAACACGTCAAGGAACTTGTGTCTGAGATTAAAATAACACATTTGTATATTCTGTAATGTTTTTCTTTCTTTTTTCTTTTTTAAAGAGCTTCCATTGTAAGCTAAAATACAGCCTCAGGTTTTATGGAGGCAACCTCTGGATGGTGGTAAGAATGGTGGTAAGAACCTCCAGGCTCAGATAGATTAGCACCTTCTTTCCGCTGTGCCCCAAAGCAGGGCATCTGGAATGACAAAGGTGAATATACTGGAGGACCTTATGAAAAGATTCTGACATCAGTAATGATATGAAAAATACTTCTCCACACTTCTTGTTATTCATATCAGGAAATAAAGAAAAATGTCTGGGAAAAGATAGTACATTGTTTTATAATGTGGAAGAAAATATATCATGGAAAATTAAAGTAAGTCTAAAGGACTTGTTATATAGCTAGAAGTGTTGAGTTATTCAGTTTCTCAGCTTGATTAGTGCTGAGATACACACACTTAAGAAAGCAGAAACTGACATTATTAGGGATATAAATAATATTATCATTACCCTGATATGAAGGCATAATTTGAACTTTGTGATAGGCAGATATAGCAAAAACCATGTATTTCAATGAGCCAGATGTAACAAAAAAACCTCTAAAAGGATTTATGCATATCAAAGATTTCTGCCTTCCAAAGGACCCTGCCACAGTCTAAGGTCTGAAGCAGGATAAAGACTGGACTTTTCTACTATGTAAGAATTCAGAATGGTGAATACAGCAAAGAGTACGTGCTTGTCTTCCATGCTAACCAACTAACTCATTATCAGATCTGACTGAGTTTGGGAAAGCGTGTCCGGCAGCCAAGATCCCTTTTTCCCCAATAGCCATCTCCAAAATTGCAAGACCCAGGAGAACAAAAATTGCAAGACTCTCTGCAGAAGAATATCTGATGCTTTTTTAACTAACATAATTGTGAAGGCTGAAGTCAAATGTAGCTTTAAGCATCCTGACGTCTATTGATTACAATAGTCTCAAGCATACTCAAGTTTGTGACAAATGGCCTCAATGTCCAGTGTTAAAATTAATGCCATATCCGCTTATTTGCAGAATAATGTTCCCCTGGCCACACTTACCCCTTTATCACAGTTATTTAAAAGTCCTCCCTCTCAGAGCAACAGATCCAAGCTCTTCGTATTCATTGCATTTAAGTAATTCCACTGTACCCTAAAATAAAGTCCCCAGTGGCTTGTATGAAGTTTTATCACTTGGAACTCTTGGAATGACTTTTCTGTATGTGAGATCACCTTATCAACAAAAGCTAAATTTTTTGGCTATTTTAAAGAAAATATCAAGCAGTGTCCTTGTTTTATTTTCATTATGCAGTTCAGCCCTTCCATTTACAGAAGGAACAATGATCCAGCAGAGGTAACTACTCACAGATGAGGGGGACCAATTTTTGGCCATTTTCCCTCCAGCTGCCACACCACCTCCCATGTTGTTTTGGAAATTCCCCCAACTCTCTGATCATAAGTGGAATGCCACAATAGGTGAATGATAAGGTGGTACCCAACTAAGTCATACTCAGAGTAGACCCACTGAAAATCAATGGGCGGGGTATAAATAATAAATTATTATTATAAATTATTATTATTATCAAATCCATTTGTTTCAATAGGTCTATTCCAGTTATAACTAATGTTGGAATCCAACCATAATATTTAATGTAAAAGTTGTTTGCGGAAGGTGGCGGCAGATGAAGCACGTTTATATTTAGGCTTAATGTCTCAAATTCAGGGAACGTTAAATGAATTCAAAATCAATTAAATTTACATATTTAATTCTTCAACTTAAGCATCACTGAAATGAAAAAGACTAAATCTACAATTTTCTTTGGAGCTGAGCTGCAGTCTGAATTGGTCACGGCAGGTTCCCCACCCAGTCGTCTTGCAAGAACTTCCTCATAAGGGCAAAGTAGCAGTCCTTAGTTTGACAGCTGCCTGTATGGGAGTTATCTATCAGCAGAGGTGTAAACTCTTACTTAAAGTGGAGTTGTGCTAATTATGAAAGCTATACAAATATAACTGATGTTTATAATTATACCTGCATTTTTTAATTAAAAAATCATTTTATTTCCGGAAGGGGGAGACATTTCACTGTTTACACTTTGACTACATAGTTACTTGCATGCCAAGATGGTGCAGTAGCAGTAATAACGCCCTGTTTGTGAGTTGGTAGGTGTTTTTCTTTTGTATTATCATTTGACTACTTAATTTGGATGAGGACTGAATGTATAAAAAAAGAAAAGAATTTAAATACATCAAAAGGAACTGTTGTACAGTATGTAGTTCCCTCTCATCCGAGGTCATTAGGTTACATTTTATCATGACTGCTATGCTGTTTTAATTAGTTGCACATTGATAAATTATGCTGGCATGATTGTTGAAATAGTTTCACATTTCAAAAGGAGACCTGATTCTTATGCTGAAGTTATGTTGTCACAGTGTGATGATTTTTGTTGACTGTTCTTACCTCACTTTGTTGTTATTCTAAACAAAGGACCCAGTTCTGCAAGCACTTATATGCCAATATGTTCTATTCATATGATCCTATTTACATATAATTTTTTCCAGAATTAGGGCAAAATTGACTTCTGTCAGAAATTATCAAAAAAAGAAATATTGTAACTCCAATAAGAGTCTGTTTTTTTCTTAAAAAAGAAAACCCTTCTGTCATTGTAATGTTGATTTGCTTAAAGAAAACAAATCATTAGAATTGGCATGTATGATGAGTAAGATGATTATTTGAAGAAAGACAAAAGAGAAATAAAAGACTTGGCTATAAATTTCCTAATTTTCCCCAACATGATTTAGTTACCAAAAGTTTGTGTATTTTGTGAGTCTACCTACATTTATTGGACAGGTATTCTATGAAATAGTTACCCTGGCGAAGCATGAACCCTGGCAAACTAGGGTTTTTTGAAAGTATATTCTGCAACATAGGAGTGAAGCAGTAATTGTGCATGACACACTGGATTTATACTGGACCAGCCACACATCATTCAGCTTTATTAGTTCTGCGGTGCTTCCCAAACAATACCACATTATTGCTATCTAGGGCAATAATAGGGGCACTATTGTACTACAGTACAAAAAAAGCAGAACAAAAAACATACCCAGAATATTTGTGGAATGAAAAGGTTTGGATAGCAAGCAGCTATTGGACACACACTGTCCAAAAAACAAAATAAAACAGTATGTATGCCAAAACTGTTGCAGGTGGAAACACTATTGGAAGTGGGATCAGGTATAATGCTCCATCAATGAATGCAGAATATAAAAGACAATAGCAGGGCCTCGTGTTTAATTTTAAAAGAATGATAGTGTTGATAACAGCACTTCAAGATAGTGAGAAATTTTTATAGAGTTGACAATTAAAATCAGCAATAAATGGTGGGACTTCCTGTGTTGGTCTCATAATTGGTTTGACATGCATTAACATCTGAACCTTTTTTTTTTTTAATTGTGGACAGAATTACTCATGAAAGGCTCTCTTCTACCAATACACTAGATTGATTTGCAGATATGATATCTTATTTATTCATTTTCCTACATTTATATCCTACCTTCCCTCAAAGGAACCCAAAGCATACATGGTTCTCTAGGAGGACTAACAACCTGTAAACTAGGTTAAGCCAATGGGGTTTGGTTTACGTGAGGATTTTAACCTGTTTTCTTCAGTCCAACACGCTAACCATGTTTGCAAGGATTTCATCCAGGGTATTTCCCCCTCTACTTTGATCTTCCTGCAGCGGATTATCTTGCAGAGAAAATAATTGCAGCTACACAGACTGCATAACACCAAGTAACTTTCTCCTCTCAGCTGCTCCCTGCTGAGCAGGAAGGGAACTGAAAAGCCCAGGAGAAATTCAGCTGTGAACTATTTCCAGCTCAAGGGCCAGAAGTACTCCACCCTTGGTTTAAGGATGGGCATATCTGTCAACTTTGGTTTCTTGTAGTTTCTCATTTTCCCACCCTTAAGCTCTCCACATTTTCACATCAGTATTCTTATTCACATTCTATTGTATGATCTTCACTCATGCAGTAAGGCTTTTGATAAAGTCCCCCATGCTATTCTTGTGGAGAAGCTGGTAAACTGTAGTCTGGATTGGGTAACTGTTAGGTGGATTTGGTGTTGGCCGACTGACCCAACCCAAAGTGTACTCATTAATGGTCCTCGTCATCCTGGGGGAAAGTGACAAATGAGCTTCCACAGGGTTGTGTCCTGGGTCCTTCGTTGTTCAACGTCTTTATAAACATGTGGATGAAAGAATTGAGGGGATTGCTCATAAAATTTGCAGATGACAGCAAACTTAGTGGGGTAGCTAGTGCCGAAGAAGACAGAATCAGAATTCAAGATGACCTTAGCAGATCGGACAACCAAGACAAAATTACCGTATTTTTTGCCCTATAGGACCCACCGTCCCATAAGGCGCACCTAGTTTTTTGGGGGGGAAATAAAGGGGGGGGGAATTCCTGAGCTCAGCGCGCCCAGGCTTCAGCATGCTGGCAACTCTCCGCAAGCCGCGGGAGCCCAGCGTCGGGCTCCTGCGCTTTGCAGAGAGCTGTGCGAAACCTGGAGAGCGAGAGGGGTCGGTGCGCACCGACCCCTCTCGCTCTACAGGCTTCAGCGAAAGCCTGCATTCGCCCCATAGGATGCACACACATTTCCCCTTCATTTTTGGAGGGGGAAAAATGCGTCCTATAGGGTGAAAAATACGGTAATGAATGAATGAATAGAGACAAATGTAAGGTTCTACACTTAGGCAGGAAGAACCAACTGCACAAATATTAAGATGGGGAGACATCTGGATTGCCAGTAGTACATGTGAAAAGAATCTAGGGGTCTTAGTATACCACAAGTTTAACATGAGACAACAGTATGATGCAGCAGCAAAAAAAGCTAATGCCATTCTAGGCTGCATCAACAGAAGTATAGTGTCCAGATCAAGGGAAGACATTGTACTGCTCTATTCTGCCTTAGTCAGATCCCACCTGGAGTACTGTGTCCAGTTCTGGGTGCTACAGTCTAAGAAGGATATTGACGAGCTGGAACGTATGCCGAGGAGGACAACCAAGGTGATCAAGAGTCTGGAAACCAAGCCTTATTAGGAACAGTTGAGGGGGTTGGGCATATTTAGTCTGGAAAAGAGGAGACTGAGAGGAGATATGATAGGCATCTTTAAATATCTGAAGGGCTGTCACATGGAAGATGGAGAAAGGTTGTTTTCTCCTGCTCTGGAGGGTAGGACTTGAAACTATCGATTCAGGTTATAAGAAAAGAGATTCTGACTAAATATCAGGAAGAACTTTCTGACAGCAAGAGCTGTTCGATAGCGGAACAGACTCCCTCAGGAGGTGGTGGTCTCTCCATTATTGAAGGTTTTTAAGCAGAGGTTGGATAGGCTCCTGTCATGGACACTTTAGGCATCTGGTTGGCCATTATGAAAACAAAATGCCTTCCTAGATGAGCCACTGGCCTGATGCATCAGGTTTTCTTATGTTCTTATGCTGACAGTGAAGTGTTTGCTACAAAGCATGAGTAAATGTGGGTTGGACTTCAAACTTTACTTTTTTCTCATTGACAGACAGTCTCCACTTTACACAGCTAATTAAAAATAGCTGATGGCAAATCAAAGTTTTGATATAATGGCTTTCTTGCTGCATCAGCCCATCTTCTCTAATAGCTGACAGAAACTGCTTTGTTTTAGGACACCATCCAAATGTGTTACAGCAATCTCCAAATTTAGTTTATTTTCATTAGTATGCTGAATGGCCTTCTCATCCATCTCAGCTAATCAGTCAGTCAGTTTCTGGCCTATATTCTACACTATCCTTCTATAAAATGCTAGCACCTATTTACAGTAGCTGCTCTTTGAATTGCGGGTGGGAGGGAAGAGACTATTTTAGTCTGTTCTAACTTTGCTAGCTTTCTGTATCAAATGAACCATCCCTTTGTGTTCATATGATGCATATCTCACCCACTGAAGTCAACAAGAAATATGCCACAGCATCAGATCTGATGAAGGTTTTGGCTAGGATTTATGACAGAGAGAGGAATGGCTCCGACTTTTCTATAGCAGCATCAATGTACTGACCACTGCCCTTGACATTAGTTTGATCTCAAAATACATACTACACTTTATTCCTACAAAGGACTCAAACCCGTTAAACATATATTTGAAACATTAGTGCCACTCATTTGAGTTTGAGTTACAGCCCCATCTTAAGACTTCTTGTACTGGTTGATACCAGCTTGTGTTGTGATTTATCAGCAGACATTCCAGTACATCTTCGCAACATATTAACACTGTCCTGGCAATACTGAACAGCCAGATATGCAGTGAAGGCCAGTAAGGCAGTTGAATGCCAGCATTTGCCACCCACCACTGTTCAACTACCACAGTGCTGGGGAAGGAAAAGCATATTGTTATGCACAAACTCAATCTTGGAGTGGGTCCCTGTCTATCCCTTGGAATTGACTTCCCTGAAATTACGGTCACCAGAGAATGATGAAGCTTCTATGACATAAGGTTTATTTACACAGGCTGAACATAATGCTATGTGCTGGGGTGCCAGAGCTTTGTGGGTGCAAGGCATCCATAAATCCTATAATTAGTAAAAGTTAGAATTAATCAAGGTTTGATTAAACTGTGTCAAACACAGAATTTCTTGAGTTTAGCTTATGCTAACAAGCCAGACATATTTGACAGGGCTAGCTGAGAGTAAGTCATTTAGGAACAAAGCAGAATAATGGCTCATCAAGGAAACCAGCAAGAGAGCGAAGATCAGGAGGGAGGGGCCCCTCCTCCAGCTGTGTGTTGGTGGGCAGAGACCAAAGGTGGTAGAGAAAGTGGGGATAGAATACAAAGTGGGCTGGCTGTGGCGGCTGGAACAAAGGAAACACAGCTTTTTGTTGTTCTTTGAATCCAATGCTGCACCTAAGGAGAAGGCCAGACCCGTTCAGGCTGTGAATACTCTGCAATCCCTTCATCTAGGTTCAGGTTGTATATGTGTAAATAAACCATATATCACAAAAACACCACAGTGTCTGCTGTGCCTCACTGTCCCAAAAGGGAACACAGACCCTTGTAAGCTTGTCTGATACCCCTGAAATCTCACATCACTGGACGGAGATTGGGGTGCAGTGTTAGAAACTCAGATATATAAGCTAATCACCAAATGGTACCTTAAACCTAGGTTGCGGTCGTCACAACAAAATGTCTAGACGGCACACACCCCTCCCCGAGTTTTCATTTTTATATTAATTATTATTATTATTATTATTATTATTATTATTATTATTATTATTTTCATTTCATTTCTATACTGCTTTATATTTTAAATAAAAAATCTCAAAGCACTTTACAACACATTAAAACACCAAATAAACATCAGAATAAAGCAAATACAAGCTTCAAGGAACGTATTTCAGATCCTTCTTTAAGTGACAGTATACCGGAAAAAGTGTCTCCACCCACATCGTTCAGCCCAGACACCGAGGTCCAGCTCCAAGGGCTTTTTGGTGGTTCCCTCACTACAAGAAGTGAGGTTATAGGGAACCAGGCAGAGGGCCTTCTTGGTAGTGGCACCCATGCTGTGGAACGCCCTCCCATCAGATGCCAAGGAAATTAAAAACTATCTGACTTTTAGAAGACTTCTGAAGGCAGTCCTGTTTAGGGACGTTTTTCATGTATGATGTTTTATCGTGTTTTTAATATTCTGTTGGGAGCTGCCCAACAGATGGGTGGGGTATAAATATTAAAATTATTATTAAAATTATTATTATTATAA